AGCATGGTAAAGACGACAGGAAGTAAGCATGTGTGTGGTCGCTGACAGAGCTGGTCGACTTGTTTACGCGGGCGACACACGCGGCCTGATCTTCTTGTGTGTGCCAGGTTACTGTAAGAACGGCTCAAATATTGCGACAAACACGATGCAAGTACTGAATTACAACAGCAACCACCCAATCAGCCACAAACTCAGTTGCGTAAAAATGCTCTATCGGCGTGTTGAGACGCACTGCAGCTAATAAGAAGATAAATTTGCCTAGGTAGAATACTGAAGCGGTCTAGTACGGGAGATCTACTACAACCACTACACTATAGTTATTTTATTTCATGTTTTACTAGTATTGTACCTTAGAAGTCAGGTTTTTTCTCACTTAAAACAAACTCCTTTTTTCCGACCTAGCAAAAGACGAAAACAAATGCAATAGTCACTGCGAAAGAAGGGGTTTGTTTAGAAGTCAGGTTTTTTCCCTTAAAACAAACTCCTTATTTCGCACACTATTGACCTAGCAAAAGCGGCACTTAAAACAAACTCCTTATTTCGCACACTATTGACCTAGCAAAAGACGAAAACAAATGCAATAGTCACTGCGAAAGAAGGAGTTTGGGTTATGTTTTTTCCTGCCTTCCGGGGTTTTTGACGGCGCCGAAGATGTGCTATACAAATAAACCTTATTACTATTAAGAGTATTCCGTGAGCGATAGGAGAAAGCAGTCGAAATATTAGGACTAGTTTATTCGTACACAAGGCAAGTTGCCGTGAAGGGACTGTTTGCTTGCGAGCAATAAAAGCGTCCGTCTGGGAGCTTGTCCGAAGCGGTGTGTGTAATGCAACCGTTCTGTGTAAAAGGTAGCAGTAGTGTGTGTATGCGTTTGTCACACTTCGTGTCAGGGTGCGGGAGTGCGTGTGGGATGTCTGATTGTTCAGGTCAAAGGGCCGGTCAGGAGAACAATAACAACGCATGAACAGGCGGGCTGAGCCGGTGCGCGCAAGGTAAGCGCTGTCTGCAGATGTTACCTTGACTGTGTTGTTGTTGTTGTTGTGTCTGCTAGTTAACAAGCCTGTCGCGGCCGTTCGGATGCAAGGAAAAACAGACACTGGAGCAGCCACCTGGTCAAACCTCGCGGGCGTCGTGAGGACATTGAGACAGCTGCCACAATACCTTCGACGGGTGTTCAGAGAGAATGGCTACCCGTGCTACTTCGTCAACCGGTGCTTGCGCAAACGAGATGGCCAACAAAAGCACGCCGACCCCAAGATTTGGCGTTCGATCCCGTACGTCGAAAACGTATCGAAAGCCGTCGGCCGCCTTCTCGCACCACTTGCAGTTGGAGTTGCACACAGACCGGAGGCAGTGAAGTCCATAATTGCGTCAGGTAATGAAGTCGAAAGACCCACTGCCACGGCAAGAAACATCTGGGGTCGTCTACAGGATCTGTAGAAGCTGCAGTCAAGGCAACTATGTCGGAGAAACTGACAGACTTCTCAAGACGCGAATTGCCGAACA